AAAACAACCTTGGGACACCAGTTATGCATCACAAAAATTTCTCCATTGAATTTTGCCCTCAAAACACAACTTACTCAGTTCAGTGAGGAAGGGGACTCTTCGGTGTTTTGATTTTCCAGAAGGTTCATTTGAGTAAATTGAGATATTATCTATAGACACAGACAAAAATAAAAAAGACAAGAGAAGATAAATGTGTGTGTGTTTGTGTGTGTGTGTGTGTGTGTTTGTAGAGAGAGTCTCACTTTATCACCCTCTGTAGAGTGCCATGGCTTCACACAGCTCACAGCAACCTCCAACTCTGGGGCTTAGGCGATTCTCTTGCCTCAGCCTCCCAAGTAGCTGGGACTACAGGCGCCTGCCACGATGCCTGGCTGTTTTTTGTTGTTGCAATTTGGCCGGGGCTAGATTTGAACACTCCACCCTTGGTATATGGAGCTGGCGCCCTACCCACTGAGCCACAGGTGCCACCCAAGAGAACAAAATGACGCACAGAACTTGGTAAGCATGCAGGAGAGCATTATGTAACTCGGGGCTCAGTCTCAGCAAAGTTACTCTCATGTCCAAATCTCAACTCTGTTTCTGTATTTAGAAAAACTATGTATTAATTGTGCATCCTGAATATCTCCTTTTGAAGTGTGGAGGTGTGTGTCACAGCATGCTTTCCAAATCACCCTTCACATAGAGCACAAAGCCTCAGAGCTCCGTGAGCAGTCGCTGGTGACCACCTTAAACTAAGACATGATTATTCTCCATGAACTGGTAATGCTGGATCATGGCTCAGTCAGGTGGGCCTGAAACCACATCAGTCTGCTTGCAGAACATCTAGGAAACTGTGAATAAATTGCTGGTGCTGTTCCACGGGCACTTTTGGAAACACTGCCCTGGCTCCTGGCTCCTGGCTCCTGGTGCCTGAGACCCTCTCTGGGCTGCAGCGCTGCTTCCCTCTTCTTTCTTCTCAGCAGAAGGGGGCTGCCTTTCCTCGGGTCAGCCTGCCGCCACCTGGAACCCTTGGGATTACTTATAGACAGGGATGGATGTCACATGGGGCCCTTGACCTCTGTGCTCAGTCTGTAGACACATTTTCCTCCTGCCTTAGGACAGAAGGCACTTTGTTCACCCCTGTGAGCCTTGCCTGTGTGGTGGGTTCAAAGTAGGGAATTGGGATTATCTAGTAAAAATTTTTAAGAAGCTCTCTGACTGATCTGAGCAATAGACACTGCAGGGAGATAAGAATTCTATAACTTGATATCAGACCTTTAATGGATACATAGTTGGCAAATGTTTTCTCTCCTTCTGTAGGTTGTTTATTTACTCTGTTGCTATTTCCCTTGCTGTGCATTAATGCCTTAATTTAATTAAGCCCTATTTATTTATTTTTGTTGCTGTGTTTGTCTTTTGAGTCTTTGCCTAGGCTAATGTCCAGAAGCTTTTCTTGTCATTTCTTCCAGAAATTTTATGATTTCAGATGTTACATTTAAGTCTTTAATTCATCTTGAATTAATTTTTATATATAGTGAAAGGTAGAGGTCCTGTTTCATTCTTCGGCCTGTGGAAGAAAATCAGAATTTTCTGATTTTCCCAGCACCCAATAAAACTTCCTTCCTTTCCCCGGTGTATGTTTGTGTTTGCTTTGTCAAAAATCAGGTGGGTGTGGCTCCAAGGATTTACTTCTGGGTTCTCTAATCTGTTACACTGGCCTATGTCTCCACCTTTATACCAGTATAAAGGAATCTACAAAGAACTCAAACAAATCAGTAGGATAAAAATCATCTAACCCTGTCAAAAAATTGGCAAAAGACATGAACAGAGTTTTTTTCAAAAAAAAACAAAAAACAAAAAACAAATACCAGATAAACAAATGGCCAATAAACATGAAAAAATGCTCAACAGCGCTAATCATTAGACAAATGCAAATTAAAACCACAATGATATATCACCTTACCCCTACCAGAACTGTCACTATTTAAAACAAATAATTAAAAAAATAGAAGTTGGTGTGGGTGCAGTGAAAAAGGAATGCTTATATACTATTGATGGGACTGAAAATTGGTACAACTTTTATGGAAAACAGTACGGATATTCCTCAGATAACTAAATGTGGACCTGCTATTAGATCTAGCAATCCTACTCCTGGGTACCCACCCAAAGGAAAAATGTCATTATAGCAAAAAGACATCTGCACCTGACTGTTCATTACAACACAACTCCCGACTGTAAAGATAGGAAATCAACCCAAGTGCCCATATAAAGAAAACGGGAGGGTGTATATTTCACTGCAGAGTAGTCCTCCCATCTCTGCCGTGGAGTGCTACTCCACAGTAAAAAAGAAAGAACTGACGTCTTCTGCAGCGACTTGGGTGGAACTGGAGACCACTATCCTAAGTAAAGGATCTCAGGGATGAAAAATCAACTACCACGTGTTCTCACTAATAAGTGGGAGCTGAACAGCAGGCTCATGTGGTCACCAAGTGGTGTAAAGACGGTGAAACCTAAGAAGGGGAGAGGCTGGGAGGAGGGTAAAGGATAAAACCCTACCTCTTAGGTATACTGTACACTATTCTGAAATTTCTGACTTCAGTAGTGTGCAATTCATCCGCGTAACAAAAACACTAGCACTCCTCTCACGCAGTAGAACCTCCAAGTTGACTGCCCTGCCCTGCCCTCCCTGCCCTGCCCACCTCCTTAAATGGACCTGATTTCACAGATGGGACATGCAGGCCACATACACGTCAGTACAGGAGGCCTAGTTCCTTATGTTGACCACCTCCATATGTTAAACTGTTTGTTACGGTTCCTCAGGTGGTCAACTTACAGAGGTTCTACTGTATTTTGAAACAACAACAACAAAAAATTATATAACTGTTGCCCTGCCCTGTGAATAAGGATCACCTAGGCAGATGAGGCAACCGCAGGTGGAGGTTCACATATGTTTTCAGGGTTTACGCCGTGACAGGTATGAAATTCCAAGCCCCCAATCTTATGGGGGTGGCTACTTTATAGCTCCATTAAAATATACAAGATTCGACTGGCAGTTTCAGTAAAATACTGAGATCAGTATCCATTATGGGAAAATTCTCCACGAATCTCGCTTTCTTATTCCAGTTCCCTGCTAATACAGGGCTTGAGATATCTGACTTTGAGAGTCGAATGTTCTAACTGGGTACAACAAATACATTCATATCAGCTGAAGAACCTGCATGAATATCCGCTTCTGACACCCGCTGAAGGGTAGCAACTGAATTCTGCCTTAACTCTGTCTCTTTGTACAGCAATGGCTAATTTGAATGTGTCAGATCATAGCCTGGGTACATTTTACTAAATGTCAATATTTTTGCTACCTAATAGTACACAGTATTATACCTGAAGTCGTACAGGCTGGCAGGGTGCTATTACAAAAGATTGCTTAATTGTAGATTACTACTGTACATTTAAATTTCAGTAGCATATTAAGTTGTCAGGCTTAATTACTGTGATATGTTTAGATTATGCCACAGATTATTTGGTTCAGTACCTAGGTTTGCCAACCTTGTTCTCCGTGTGGTGTGACAGGGCAGTAATTAGAGCATTACTGAAAAAAATCGGAAGTTTTCCATGGCGACGTCCAGGAGGCCTGGTGTTCTTACTGTTCCTTTGGGGATTTCCCACTCAGCTGTCTCCCCATTCCTCTCAGCGTTCCTTGGTGAATATCTCTATGAACAGCCCTGCTGGTCCTAGCTTGATTTCATAGGAGAGTTATCATGGCTGTGAAGCTGTTGAAAAGCCCCCTGATCCACAAAGGGCTTGGCAGATGCGCTGGGGCAGGCCTCCCAGTCTGGGCACTGCTGACTGTCTCTGCCGTGTACGGCTCCCCTGAGCATTGCATCGTAAGAGGCTCAGCGGCCTCTCTGACCTCTATCAACCAGATGCTGACAGCATGGAACAAGCAAAACTGTCTCCAACCATTGCCAGATGACCTCAGTGGGCAAACTTGCCTCTAGTTTAAAACCACTCACCAAGAAAAAGGGGGAAAAAACTGCCCATCGGCTAGTTTGATTTGAGGGATCATTGTGGAAGATCTTTTCTACCTCCAGGTAGTATTTTGTAATCCTTTCTGCTTTCAATTATTGGAGGTCAGGATTCGTAGTTCTACCTCTCATGGATGGTGCAAGAAAAGAGTTGAAATAACATGGGAAGAATGATGAAGAGTGTCAATCAGGCTGAGCTGAGGATTGGGAATTTTTCTATCTAATTTTCAGATACATTCCTATGATTCTAGAGTCATTAGTAAAGTTTCTGGGTTAAGTTTGCTATTTATATGTCATCTTGAAATATGCTCACAACATGACTTAATTGATGCAATAGTGCCAGATAAGCAGACGTGGTGACTTTTATTAGGTAGGTTGGTGGAGTCTGTCTGGACCAGGCGTCCTCAAACTAAGGCCCGAGGGCCATATGCAGCCCGCCTAGGACATTTATCCGGCCCACCGGGTTTTTTTGCCGCTGCTGCCTGTCTTGCTTAGCAGCTGACTTATCCCAGGGCCGGCAGTCTGGCCCTCCAACAGTCTGAGGGACAGTGAACTGTCCCCCTGTTTAAAAAGTTTGAGGACCCCTGGCCTGGACCTATATTTCCCTGTCACACACATGGAAACACATACCCCATCCATACAAGAAATAATGCTATTGGTCTATAGTCAAGACTACACATTCTTCTTGTAACTTTTCTACTAATTTTTAGAGAAAATTATACACACACACACACACACACATATCTGAGGTCAGACAATTAAGTTCATGAACTCCTCTTAGAAAAAGTGCTGCATACTTCATTGCTGAATATCATTATGGTGACCTTCAAAGTGCTTCTTTTGGCCATCTGGCGATCTTAGTGATATTCAGCAATGAAGTATGTAGCACTTGTACCTCTTTATGATGACAGCTCTGACTGCTATTCCAGAAGAGTTCCAAAACTGCTCTGAAGGATGGACGAGGCACTGGTGTCAGTGCTCAGCTTCCCAAGGGGAGTACCTTGAAGTTGACCACTGTGATATTCAGCCATGAAGGATGAAACACTTTTTCTAGGATGAGTTTGTGTACTTAATTATCTGATCTCATGTAAGTCTTTCCATTTTGAAGGAGAAAAAACACTGCAGTTGTGTAGGGGGATTAACCATGGGCACATTTTGGGTACAGTGAAATGTGTGGAAGCTCTTTGGGGGTCCAGCTCACTCACTCATTGGCTTCAATTCCATGAGTGTCAAGCTTCTCCTAAGTGAGAGTATTTATAATAGGTACTTAGAGGAAAACAAAGAAGAAAAGACATGATCCTCATTCTGAACAGATAGTCACTTATCTCTCACCCTTGTTTTCCAATCTGAGGTTGATGGAAGTTCATTTTTAGTCTCTAGGAGTTGGGAGAGAACTTAGTCTCCTAAAATTCATATATTGAAAGTATCTTGAAAAGGAAAAGGGGATTATACTTCATTCTCTCATCTACAAAACTAAGAATTATAACTTGAACATCTATAAGAATTAATGAGAATTTATTAATAATACTTTTTATTAATTATAATCACATACTAGTTTCTATGTTCACTGACATTTGATTAATAACAAAAAAAGCACGTATAATTCTGTGATGTTTTTTCTCAAAATGGGAAAACAAGGTCATATGTGTTCTACTTAAAAGATGGATATTATTTTTGCTTCGACTTAGAATTTTAGAGGACCGCACTGTCAGCTAATCTTATCATAGAATTCTTAGAGATCAAGCAGGACACCTGGTCCAACTCTCCTCCTTCCAATAATTAAGTACTTCTTATTAACCTTAATTAAGTACTTCTGAGAGGAGCTGTGTTTCCTTATTCTATTCTTTCTAGCCTCTTCCTGCCAGGAAGCTACTCTCACCTGCCACTGAGAAAGGCTTGGAGGAGGTGTTGACCCGCACTGATCCAATGTTGAGGGTGGCCATGATGGTCTCTGTGTCTACCAGAGTATGGCTGCTAGATGGCTTGGACGGGGGGCATAGGACAGCACACATAAAACATTTTTCTATGTTGACTGCATGCAGGTCTCCAGCATAGAGTGCAGATCCCTAGAGGGAGAAAAACAGATACAGGAAAGACTTGTCAGATGGAGGGATTGTGTCTCATGACTCATGGTAGTGGCTTTTTGTGGGTGATGTGATTTAAAGCCATTAAATGACTCCAGGGGAAGAAAATAAACAGTGTCTGGGTAACAGTAGTGAGGAAAACATTCAGACAAAGGAGAGGAGATGGATTTGAGGGAAAAATTTGTACCCTCACAGTCTTGGTAGTTAGTAGCTGGCCATACTTGTACTCTCCAAATCAACTATCAGAATGGCAGTTGCTTCTCTCTTTGGTGAAGAAATACAGATGGATCTAGTCCCGCCTTTAAAAGCTCAGAGGCTACTATTGGTAATTCCTAATATTATCTGAATCTGGAGATCCTGGTCTTTTTCTTTTCTTCCTTTTTATAGACTAAAGGAAGAGGGATGACACAGGGAACTTTATGGTATTCTTTGTAAAAGGATCAAGAATTATTTTTGAAGTCTGAAAAATATTCCTTATATATGCTAGTATCATTTCATAAAAATTCAAATGAATGGGCACATTTCACACAGCACAGAATGGACTTTTCATCCAGAGAAATGACATAGAAGGGAATGAAGACCTATGAAAAGTTCAGGGAAGAAATGATCAGGAACTTTGCATAATCATAGTTCCACTATGAATAGTTCCGCTTCTCAGAAATCAAATTCTTCCCTTTTGGTTGATGCCTATAATTCCAGAACTTTGGAAGGCCAATGCAGGAGGAAAGCTTGAGGCTGTGTGTTCAAGATCAATCTGGGCAACATAGCTAGCCTCCCATCTCTTAAAAAGAATTAGCCACGCCTTATGGTGTATGCCTGTAGTCCCTACTATTCAGGAGGCTGAGGCAGGAGGATCACTTGAGCAAAGGATTTGAGGTTATAGTGAACTGTCATCATGCCACTGCACCCCAGCCTGGGCCAAAGAGTAAGACTCCATCTCAAAAAAACTAAAAATTCCTCCTCTTCATACATCTATCAGGACCATGTAGCATTATGTGATCCATATAAGATGTCTCCAGAAAAAATGAAAAAGTTATAGCACACAGGCTGTAACTCAGCATCAGCTTAAGTTTAGCCATGAAATTAGAATCAGACTCAGAAATGTAGAGAAACTCTCATTTGTATGAAGAGTACAGTATTTGAGCATAGTCAAGACACATGACATTTGGACTTAAATCCTAGTTTTGCCACTTACCTGTTGTGTACTCTTGGTCAAATTACTTACTCTTTTTGTGCTTAAATTTTAGCATCTTTAATATGTATCACATAAGATTATTTTGAGGGTTAAAGATGTTGATACATGTAAAAAAATATTTAGAACAACTTATGGTACTATATAATAATTGCAAACTATTATTATTATTAATTCTAGTACTATTAGAATTATTATCATTATAAATATTCACTATCCCCTTATGTGATACTTACAGGCATAATGTATACCTGAGGAAAGTTCCGGAGAAATTGCCACTCTCTCTGCAGGTAATCCAGAGAGCCAATGAACACAATGTCCTTCAGCTCCTGCCGGGTATAGTTGCTAGTTCTCAAGGGCATCACAAAGTTACGAAGCCCCAGCAGGGTTGAATGGGCATCTCCAAAAACACACGCCACAATGTGGTTCTGGAACTCATGTTTTGACTTTTCAGTTCGTTTCTAAGGATAAGCATGCCAGAGTCTAGTCATTTTGATAAATAAGATGAGGGGGTCTTTCAGAGTGAGCTCCCTGTCCTCCTCCTCAGCCCCAGCCTGCTAGGTACCTCCACAGCAGTACTTTCATAAGGTGAATAGAATTTTGCAAGTTGCTTATTAAAAAATAGAACTGACACGTAAGTGTTATGATTATACCTTTTCTGTTTTTGTGGGGTTCCTTCCTATTTCACTTTTGGGGTTGTATTTGGTAGTTTTCTATTTACCTGGAGTACCTCAATGAAAGCTTAGATCACTATCATTCCTTAGGGTGTAAAATCCTTGGAGCAAAGGAAGAAACCATATCTTGATTTTTATCATATATTGTTAGCCTCGTGTGCTCTAGAGTAAGATTTGGTGAAAAATTAAGACATTTCACATTCCACTGCTGCACTCCTGCCTTCTAATGAGCCCTGAAAATTGCAGCCACTTGTATGATATGATTCAGTATTTAGAGGTTTTTCATTCACTGGTTCGAACTATACCATTTTACCTTTATAACGGGTCAAAAATGGTCAAATATTGGCTACTTCATATGGTTTAACCTAATACACTGAGCTGATTCAGTAGATTCTTCAGGAAATTCATCACACAAAGTGCACAGAAGAAATAGGAAGTTTACAAAAATTCCCTGTGTTCTCAGACATTTGAATACATATCATATATATTTTTTAGCAGTCTTCCAAATTATGTTGAAAATATATAAATGTCATTATATATAATATATATATAAAATCATAGTTCCACTATGAATAGTTCCACTTCTCAAAAATCAAATTCTTCCCTTTTGGTTGATGCCTGTAATTCCAGAACTTTGGAATTGTCATTTATATATTTTCAACTTAATTTGGAGGACTGCTAAAAATATATATGATATGTATATATTTATACATTATGATATGTATATGATCTGTATATAGATATGATGTATATGATATATATGATATAAAATATATATGATATGTATAAATGTCAAAATATATATGACATTTATTTTAAAGTAGGTCTTCCACACTCTGAGTCCACAGAAACTCAGAAAAAAACAAAATACAAATGTAACTTGAAGGAAATGACCCTCCTGTAGGAAACCGGTGTGAAGCCTATGTGTGTTCTCATTCAGGGAAGAGGCTAAGGTCCCCTCCTGTAAGATTGGGGCACAAAATTCTGGAGTTGGAATCAGAAAACATGATTTCATATTCTGGTTCTGTTGTTAAATATATGACTGAACAAATGACTCAACCCCTCTGATCCTGGATTTCTCTAAAACGGTAGAGGTCAAAAAATTAATTTTTGTTTTGAAAATTAAATAATCTATTTAAAGGGCATATTACTTGACTCATTAATAGTTGTTCAACACTATTAATCAAATTTGTACCTCATGAAATTCCTAGATTTTCAAGGGAAGACACTTAGAAGCTGGTAGAGCATAAGTTCCTTGTATTTAAATTTCAGCATGAGCATAATCTACATTCTTAGACACACAGAGACGCAAAGTATTTCAAAGTATCTCGTTCTTCCTATTCCAGTCCTATTTCAGTTCTTTGCTCGGTTAAATGAAATCTTCTATGAAATGGAAATTGAAAAAAACCTAACACAAATAAGTAGCATCTAACATCTCAACAGTTAGAGTATGCCCAATTAGCATATCCTGGGAAATACCGTGTTGTATTCTCTGTCTAAGGGGGAACTCCCCACGAAGGGAAATGAAGCTACTTGGCTGGAGAGCCTTCTGAGAGAGTGATATGAATCTTAACCAAATCTACTAAATAATTGTCTCCAGCTAATCTGATTAGTTTTAACTTGAATAATGAAGCCTCTAACGGTATTTAATGTAACAAGCCTGAAGTCCAACATTGCTCTTCTGAGTAGAACTAAACAATTAGAAACAAGATACATGGCCGAGTGCATTAATGGGCACAGCTAGAGAGGCAATTTCTCTAAGAAATGGTGCCATGAAACTGTCTCCCAATTAAGAAAGATGGTGGCTCTTGGGGGAAGGGGAGCATGTGCTATTTGTTCAAAGTAACTTAAATTGACCACTTCCACTTAACCCTTCTCCAAACGAAACCAAGGCTTCAGATCTTCACCAAACCAATTTTGCAACCTGGACATTTCTCTCCTAGGGACACATGTTTCAAAATTCATAGATTTTGGAAACTAGAAGGCATTCTAAACTTAGCAAAAGACTCGGTATCAGGAACTATATTCCATATCAAGTATCTTAAGGGAAATATCTATCATGGTAACTGGTCTGCATACTCAACGAATAGATCCAATAAAATGTCTGCTATTTTCATTCCTGGGTCTTGGGTGTCTCAATTTGCAACCAACTTCCCAACTTCCCTTTCTCAAGACCTGCCTCCCACTGAAAAGATGTTTGGCTTTCTGCTCAACGGATGTTTACTTTGCATAATTCAGAATCAGACATAATTGCTAAAATGGTGAGTTTCAGCAACCCTTTTAGTCTTCCAGTTGTTATGATGGTTCTGACAGTTTTGTGCTTCTGATCAAATGATTGATCATGTTTTTACAAAAACTTGGAACGTGTTCTGTCAGGACACTGGCATGAAGCCACAAGGATGGTGTGTGTGTGTGTGTGTGTGTGTGTGTGCGTGTGTGTGCATACACACGCATGTCTGCCTAGCAGGAAAAAATGAACTAAACTACTTTCAGAAAACAAGACAGTATATATAATTATCAGTTAGTCACAGGTGACAAATTATATAGGGCTCATACAGCATGCAAACCATCATTTTTATTAGTTAAATTTATGAACTACTTCATGTAAGGTAAATCACAGAGATTACACTTGACTTTTCAACTCCTGAAAATAAGACTAAATGGGGATTCCAGAGAGCAGGTGTCAGAGCCTGGATTAGAATGCAGGCTTCCTGTATCTTAGTTGCTGGCTTTTCGGTGAGCTAAATTAGTCCTTTTGAGATAACGGACAGGGGCAGGACTGTAAAATCTGCCAGGGTTCACCTACCTTGTGTGGGCTGAGAGGAGGAGGAGGACATTTAGCAGGCATATTTGCAGCTAATGTGTTAAAGTGAGTGTAGCCAGCCTTAAGGAAACCACTGTCAAAAATCCAAATTTCAAAACCAATAAATTAGGAAAATGCTTATTTTCTTTGAAACAGAGAAAACTGCAGAGTTGTAAATAGTAGGTTTCCCTGGTGCATTCAAATTAATTAGATTTACTAGCAAAACAACAAATCTTCAGGAAAACATTATTCTGAATAACTGAGTTAGCTAAATTGTTTAAGGAGGGAGGGAGTCATTGGAGCCATATAATTTTTTCGGTCCCAGCATGCTGCCCCCACACACCTTGGCAGTCACATGTGTCACCTCGCATATCACTCGTATGGCCGGTGAGGTATGTGGGCTTCTTTTTCTTAATTCTAACTTCATGCTTTACAACAAGAAATGAGGAATTCTTATGACTAACAGACGAACTTCATTTGCTCTTAGAGATGCTTTATCTTATTTGAGGTTTTTTTGGAAGATCACCTACCAGAACCATCTTGTCCAGAGGGGTTGATCTGCACCAGTGAAACATCCCACTGCTATCCAGCGGGTCGGTATCTTGGTCAAATAGAAAAATCCTAAATAGGGCAGGAGGGAGAATTAGTTGTTTGAGGCTCCATTGTAACACAGCCAAGATATAAAACTCATTAGAGCCGTCGGCTTAAAGTGGAGAGTAGCATACGGAGAATGATCTCAGGTCTGTAAAACTGCAGAATAAGTGTCCAAGTCTGCAGAGTGCCAGGAGCTGAATGACCAAAGTTCGTCACAGCAGAAGACATACTAAGCACTTTGGGCCCAACCACACTACCTTAGATTGTACTTACCTTAAAAGTAGTTATTTCTAATTTTAATATCACTGTTATCATGATGCTATTATTGCTTAGCGGAAATCATAAGCGGTCCTCAGGGCACTTCAATGTAGAATTTTAAAGGCCGTAAGGGACCTACAATGTGTGAGATCTCTCATTTTAGCCTGTGTTAACCCCTTTTCTTTTCCATATCTTTTCCTGATGGGTACCAGTGGAAACAGCCTTATTAATCAAATGCGTTAATTAATTAAAGTGTTTAATTGCACTCTTCCCAGCTCTCATCACTGACCTCCATTTTCTCAGACTTTGATCTTGATCGGAGTCTTGGCAAACCCTCCACATGCTCACCCCACCCTGAAGCTAAGCTAATCTTTGGTTTGTGATCGCTGAAAGGGTTAGATGAGCTTTTGGAAAATCCTACTTTTAGCCTAAGGAGTGCCATTTGCTTGTTAGAGAACAGTGGCAACCGTTCTGGAATCCCAGAAAGTTTAGGGTTAGAGAGACCTGTACGAGTGAGGAGAGTCTAGGCTTAGGCTGCAGAAACAACCCCCAAATCCGAGAGCCCCAACACAGCACAGTATCCATCTCACCCACACTATTATTTCACTCAGGTGAAAAGTGCCTCAGCTTCTCACAGCCACTCAGGCCTCAGAGGCCTCAAAGCCTCTGCCGTTTAATAGCCTCAGCACCTGCCGCCTGCATGCTCCTCAGTCTTCATGCAGAGGTAGAGGAAGGGGAGAGGCCCGGCAAGGCCCACACGGGTGCGCATCCCTCCCTGCACAGACCTTGGGCCACAACTAGTCACAGGTGTCCTGCTCGCTTTAAGGATGCCGGGAGCAGAGAACGGAATTGAAATATTTGGCAAGCATTTCTATCTCTGCCAGAGAGACTTTAAAGACTACCTTCTCTTGTTTTATGGATAAAAGTCAGAGATCTAAGAATCGTAAAGGTGGAACTTGAGGCTGAGGGGACCAGTGATCACATCTTCCCGTCCTCCATTCCTTCCCCAGCACAGGAGTCTGGGCAAGTAGGCGGAGCCCGTGACTAGCTCTGTCCAGGCACGTGACTAGCTCTGTCCAGGCACGTGACTAGCTCTGTCCAATGAAATGTGAGAAGCCTTCCCCCCTCCCCCCAGCCAATCCACCTTCAGGCTCTTGTGGAGGTGACGGGCCTGACTGCAGGAGCCCTCATGGACAACAGAGCGCCCCTGCCTGCTAGACTGGTGCTGGACGTGTTGTGTTCCCTTAATAAGAAGCCGTCTTGCTCCTGAGCCACTGTGGGTTCATAGTTGTTACCAGAGCTTAAGTCCACTACCCTCATACCAATACCTTTTCCCAAAAAGCATGTTCCCTGGAATATTAGTAATGGGAAGAGTCCTGAGGAATGGTTTTTTGCAGTAAAATAAAGGTTGATAAAATAGAATAATGTTTTGAAGATAGTATGTAAGAGGATTTCTGCAATAAGGAAATCCTTTAAAAATAGTGTAATCCACTGTTTCACAACTTACTTGGCCACAAAGACTTTCACTATTTACTTACATACTTTCTTACTTTACTTATTTAAAAATACCTGTTTCCATCCACCTTTGTGGCACATGATAGTCAGTAGCTTATGACAGTATTCTCTCCTGTGCCGTTTCACTCTACATATTGGAAGAATTACAGCCTGCTGCTCTCTGGGATGAAAGGTAAATAGTTTTCCCTGTGAATTAATGTAGCTAATTATTCAACAACTGGCTGAAAGACTCAGAACCCCAATATCTTACCAAGAAATTTTACTTTCCTCAACCAAGTTAGCTTCTAAATTGCCATCTTACGTTGTAATTTTTCAGGTGTAAAGACTTAACTCAAATCTAAACTAAATTTTCAGACCTAGAGAAATGGGATAGAGAGAGGAGGTAGGCAGAGGAGCTGGGGTGAAGGATGGGGCCCAGGAAAAGGCTTGGGAAGGTAGAGAGGGTAATTCCTAATGAGGTTTACCGAGACCTTGATGCAATTTTTTATCTCCTTGTGCACTTAAGACCTACCTATACACTCAGTGGACTTAGTGAATTCTAATAATTTACCAAAAGATGTTGTAACATAAGCCTCAAGGTCAGCGTGGCCAAATGGGTTACCTCATTCATACAAATTAGCATGCCTTTTTGGTAATTTAAATATCTGTAAGTCATGAGCCCCAACCCAAATTTCAAGAGCCCCTCAGGCTCTCTTAATAGTACTAGACAGGAGCATGGCGCTGGCTTTCTGCCAAGGTCGTTAAGGGCACTCACCAGGGAACATACTTAATACCTGAGTCTGGTTTAAATTTTTATCAGGATTTAGAGAACTGGCTCTATTACTCGTTTGCAGAACCCTCTTTCTCTTCACTAAGTGGCTTTCTGGACACCGTCTCTCAGCCTTCTCAGAACATGTTTCCATACAGGACCCACACTGGTGGTGACTTGTCTCTCAAGGAATGTTTGGGAATAGTTCAGGGCTGTCTTACCTTCAGAGAGCCCGCTTCTTGCTCTCTGCCCCTAGCACTCACGTCTACAGCTATGACTACTACTCTCCTCTGGTCACTTTCTTCAGCTTTTCCCCACTTCCTCTCCTTCGCCACCCCTGTGATGGATGAAGAGTCCTTGGTCTATAATTAAATGTCCTTTTGGCAAAAGGAATATGATCTTCTTCCAAGCACATTTTAACTTGACGCAGAAGAGCAAATCAATCACTGTATACTTCTATCATAATAAAAGCGTGATCTATGTATACAGGCTGTCACAAGCAACATCTTTCTTCATTCTGATGTTATGGAAAACAGATATGCCTTAGAGGAAACACCTGTTGGAGACCCGCATAAAAGAAAAGTCTGGAGGACACCCACTTCATCATAAAGGCATCCATCTGGTGTCCCTGCCAAAGCAAAACCTAATGCGATTTAGATCACCAACCCTTAACCAAAGCTCCCTTCCTCCATATGCTTCGCAAATGACATGAACCTTGCAGAAATATGCCTTCTAAAGAGACTAATAAATCATCCGCAAGAAAGCTCAGCACTAGGAGTCTTAGAACTTGGAAATAAGAAATAGAACAGAACGATGACGCTACTGAAGGAAAACATAGCCATGGGCACCATCTGGTCGAAACAGACATGTCCCATTGGGAGAGGGGGTTGTGTAGGGGAGATGCTGGCAAGAAGGGTGGTGGCTGTTGGCTGGGGTGGCCTCCGCAAGACATGTTTGGGACGAGAGTGGGATTGGTTCCCTGGTCACAAGACACGCTTCTCACTGCCCAGGCAGTGCCACTTCTGCCTGGGAGCTTCCTGGAGGTACCAGACCTTGAAATGTCCTCCAGAGTCCTGGTACGTGGCTTCCAATTTTAAAAATTAATAGGCCAGGTGTGCTGGGTGAAAATACCTTCTGCAGCTAGTCCTCTTGTGGGTGTTCAGAGCAGCACCCAGAAGAGGCCCCAGCTCTCTGCTCTGAGATCTGCCTCTCTTTGAGCTGCTTTGATACGCATAAGCCACACGGTCCTGTGGGTGCTTGGCCATCCCCTGGCTAGGGAAGTCAGGCCCTTTCCTCCCCGCTTCCTGGAATGATTTTGAGTAGAGAGTACTTACTCTCCCATGTTCAGAAATTCTATCACTTAAAGGAAAATATAAATAAAGGATTATGTGCCTCTGGTTACTGGTGGTGGCACTTGACGACAAAGGGACCAACCATATGAGAAAGCCACTTTAGTCTGGTAGGTTTCAAAGGTCCACAGTAGGCATCATGGTTACAAGAATATAAATTTGTTGTCATTATTTTCTTCAACTTGCAAAATGGACTCAGATTATTCTTGAAGATGATTTTGGCCAAGGAACATGATCTTTTATTGCTCACATTATCTGTTAGAAATTTCAAAAAGCCCCTACTGGTTCCTTTTATTCTTTTGCAGGCCTAATTTTTGGCTTGTGTCAGGATACCCTGGCTTGTAATCATTCCATTTGAAATCCCCTTAAAACTCCACAGGTGGCTGGCGGTGCCAGTGGCTCAGTGGATAGGGCACCAGCCCCATATACTGAGGGTGGTGGGTTCAAACCTGGCCCTGGCCAAACTGCAACAAAAAAATAGCTGGGTGTTGCGGTGGGCACTTATAGTCCCAGCTACTCGGGAGGCTGAGGCAAGAGAATCGCCTAAGCCCAGGAGTTGGAGGTTGTTGTGAGCTGTGATGCCACAGCACTCCACCAAGGGTGATAAAGTGAGACTCTGTCTCTACAAAAAAAAACAAAACCCCCCCCCCAAAACTCCACAGGTGGCTTGTGAATTATTAGGAGAGCATTTTCTAGCCTGGGTGAAGAACAATATATATGTTTTTTGTTCAAAACTCCAGATAACAAGTCTTATGAAGCTTTAGCATAGAGAGGAGGACCAGTCTTCTGATCACATGTTAGGAAGGAGAGAAGAAATGTGACTGTGTGTCCAGGGATTTCAGTGACCTTCTTGGTTTAATCTTTGAAAAGTCCATTGCAACTGTCTCTTGAAAGTAATATTCGAGTTCCTACCAAAAATGTGAAGCAGAACCTTAGACCCAGATGCCACTGATGGTGATGAAAATTTTGTATCTTGAAAGCTACAGCTGCCTTCTCTCTAGTGACTTTGTATATAGTGACAAGACCACATAGTTCACAACTGACCTGGGAATATTCAGTTCTGTCTACCCCTGTTGTATTATGGGGAAAAATCAGCTATAATTTGGGAGATAAGGGCTGGTCATACGAACGGCGCTTCCCACTCTGTGCTCTTCCAA